GTACTGCTCTAAGACCCAAAACCCGGCTGTTGTGCAATCTCGAATCTCGAAAGATCCTTGAACAAAGGTGGAAGACCGATCTGACCCGCGAATTCGATCGCCGAACCCCTGTGGATGTCATCAGCAAGCAGATGAGGCCGCACGGATGCGATCAACCTCTAGTACTTAATCTGAGGAACCAAATGCCCCGCCGGCGGCACCCTGTACGTGTATATTATATATATATATACACACAGTATACACGGTTGTAGTTGGTTTCACGGTTTTTTTTTAATCGCTTTCCGTTATTAATTAAAACCCTATTCCATAGCCTTTTCCCTAAACCCGAGAGAGGTTGAGGTTGAGGCTTTACAAACCAGCCGGGGTTCAGGGCTTAGGGTTTTTTTCGGCGAGGCGACCTGCGAATCCATTGATATGCTGCTTTGGATTCAGACCTGGCTTTGTCCGCACCTGTCTGATGCATACGGTACATCTGGGGGTGCTCCAGCTGTTCAACGGGTCGGCTTTCACACTTTTGGAGGAGCTGGGAATCTCGATGTAATTTCGGCAATTATATAGTTTTTGGTGCCTAGTGTTAACAGTACCGAAAATGCCGACAGCACCTCCGAGCAACGATCGTGAGGCTGGTTCGGTGCACCGGACTTGAAGATGCCCGAGAAGATGATCATTCTCTGCTCCCGCTTCAAGCGGTGGGCGTCAGCGAATCAGCTGCGGCAGCTTGGATATAAGATTTGTCGATCTGAGCTGGTTAAGCACCCAGCTAGTTACGATCCCTTGGTCGTTAACATAATCATTATCCCTAATATATAGGTTGTCCAGAGATCATATATGTGCATTTAGATGGAGACCGGAAGCCTTGCAGCCTCGAATCAGTTCAGCATGAGGCATTCGCAAGCGACGCTGAGTGCCGGAAATCTGTCCTATGAAGGGCAGGCCTATCCATCCCTTAACTTGAAAGCATACAACGGCCGCCTCTTCTTCCAGTACTTCAACATCGTCTTGCGTGCTACCCTGGCCGAAAGCAATGATTTGGATGCTGGATTGAAGAAGGAGCTGACACTCGCCAGTTCATGCAGCACGGCACTTTGTGGCTTTTTGGACATGTGCGAGCGCTCAGCCCGCAAGCTGACAATCGAGGAGGCCCGCGCAATGCACGATTCAGTCCAACTCTTCTTGAAGTTGTACCAGCTGCTGGTTCTGCAGAGCCATGCCCGATCAATTCCTCGATGGAAGGTGGTCCCCAAATTCCACGCGCTTCTTCATTTGGTCGAGGACCAATGCCAAGAGCTCGTCAATTGTAGAAGCTTCCATACCTTCCAAGACGAAGACTTCGTGGGGGTCTTCAAGCAGCTATGCGTACAAGCACCGAAGCAATTGCTAGAGTTCAGGTGCATGACAAGGTTTTATCTTCGGGTCAAAGCCAAAAGGTAGCACCGGACAACAGCTTCAGCTTATATTTGGTGCAGCTTGCACTTGCTTTTGCAAGGCAGTCTGGATGCTGCTTACAAGCATGGTGCAACTGGTGGCAACAGCTTACAACTTGTGCAATTCTGGTTTTTCCAAGGCAGCCTGGACACTGCTTACAAGTGGCGCAATCTGGTTTTTTAAGGTGGCCTGGATGCTGCTTACAACAACTGGTGCAACCTTGCACATGGTGCAGCCTAGAAGACAGCCGGCTCTCCGACAAGCCAGCTCATCACTATGCGAGTCAGTATACTTATTCTAGTTATGTTCTTAATGGCATGGTTTAGGACAGGGGTATAGTGCTATTATAGGTTCACATATATGCATTATGCAAATTAGTTCTATATCTGTCCGCATAGTAGAGCCTGGCCAAGTTGCATCGCTCGAGGACTGCAGACGGCGCCAAAATCCAAGGGTCTCTGTACATGTGCTGGGGCTTTAAGTTCTTCTGGGTTTTGGGTGTTGCAGCTTTCGGGATAGATTTCAGTGACAGGTCCATGCAGCTGAGCTTTATAGCTAGTGCAACGGGCTTGGAGCCTTCGAATAGACGGGGCCGGAGCTCCCAAAATATACCGATAAAATCCCCGGCACCCAAACTAAAAGCCGAAAACCTAAGCAGGCTTTCTTTTAACTGAAGACCCGAGAAGAACCGAAGGCCTCAAAGTCCAAAAATACCCGAGCACAACTTCGCCTTAAGACTTGAAGCTAATATCTATGCAGAGTTCGAAGTATAAGCCACCCGCTAAGCAGAACTCGTCAATTGCAATGTCAAGACCCGGAAGCCCAAAGTCCCAAAACAAACCGCGACACCCATGAACGAAGAGACCCGATAGCACAAAATTTTAGACATCCGTGTAACTTGAAGCTGACCCAAGAGCCTTAAAACCCTTGCAAATACCGTAAATCGATACCCCTTAAACTTCGAAGCTTCGATTCAGCAAGCCCACTCAGTCTGCTATATGACCTAAACCCGAGCTCCAGAACTCCTAGGTGTTAGGCCGAATAGACCCGAACATCAACAACCTCAAGGATGTAATCCCTCCGAAGCCTGCACCTCTCCTAGTCAGAACAACCATACTCGGACCCTCGTTAACTTATCAAGCCCTGATCATAAACCCTCGAAATTATGAAGCCCTGCCTAGCGATCTACATCTGGTACTTCGGGCTGCATATTTGGAATTCAGACAACCTTTCAGTGGGATGGGGATATCCCTGGGATGGGCGAGTTTGGTGCTGATTTCAGTGGGATGGGCGAGTTTGGGGTATCGAATGAAAAGTTTCAGTATACAGGGCTTCAGGGCTTGCTGCTCATTTCAGTAGGATGGGCGACTTCAACCTAAAACCTCCGGATCTCCCTAGACCCTCGAACCCTATGCAAGCCAACGTAACCTTACAACGCTACATCCCGAAAAAATTTTCAACAACCCTAAACCCGAAACACCAAACCCCAATCAGGCTGCAAGCCTCTGGACCAGAAAGGTCAGCAACCCCAAAACCTTAAACCCTAAAAAATATGTATACTCTTATAATGGCTGCAAGCCACGGGACCGGAACGGTCAGCAATCCTAGCTATAAAACCCTACACCATAAACCCCAAAACCCTAAGCAATGCAACCTAAACCCCAGAAGGCTGCCAGCATCGGGACCGGAACGGTCAGCAACCCCATAAAACCCTATAAACCTTAAACCCCATAAACCCCAGACGGCTGCAAGCCACGGGACCGGAACGGTCAGCTTAATCCCCCTAAACACCCTAAACGATATCGTCAGCAACCCTAAAACCCCAAAGCACAAATCCTGACAAGGATTAATGATATCGTCAGCAACCCCTAAAACCCTAAAGCATAAACCCTAAAACCCTATAAGATTCGAAGGCTGCAAGCCTTCAGGCGGCACCCCTAAAATCCTAAACCCTAAACCCCTCTTGCGGTATTTGCTGGAGAAGCTGGGCTGCAATTAATATACAATATATAATATATATAATGATATAATAGTATTATAATATATATATATATACTCGTGCTTCTCGTCGTGTTCGTCGTCGTCGGTCGTCGTGATATCTGATATATATATATATATATATATAATCAGATATACACATATATATATATTATATGTATATACATATATAGTATATACATATACTATATATATATATATATATATATATATATATATACTATATATATATATATATATAATATATACTATATATATAATATATAGTGTATATATATAGTATATATTATATATATATATAGTATATATATATATATATATATATATATAGTATAAATTATAATAAATATATACCCCAATTATGGCACCATAGATGCCGCAAAACCAGGTTACGCAAATGTAGGCGAAATCCAAGGTCATTGACGCAAAGTAGTGTCATGACCCAGGATTTTGTAGTCACACGCTAATGACCTTATATTTTGAAGGCGCCGGATCGGGAGGGAAAGGGACCCTAACTGCAACCCCCCTAAAAGGGACCCTAACTTCAACCCATGAACTGTGTGAAGCCCGTGAGACTCCTTCGGCCGTGCCCCAAAGCATTCCTAGCCCTGGCAACTAGCCTCAAGTCTGGAGTCTAGAGCCGACCTGGCTACTAGCGGTTTAGGGTTTAAGGATTTAGGGTTTAGGGATCTAAGGTTTAGGGATTTAGGGATTTAGGGTTTAGGGCACTTCGGTTTCCCGATGCACAAATGAATCTCCTGCTCTGATGCTCGCCGCACATCGCTCTCTCCGGGGTCATCTGGATGCATTCTGTGCCGACGCCAACTGGGCCAGGGTGCCTTTCTCCGAGATCCCGGACGCTCAGGCTGCTCTGGCCGGATTGCCCTCCGCCAAGGTGGCGTGGAAGTGAAGAGTATCAAGGCACGTGCCATGCCGCAGATCTCCCGTACAGTTGGGAGTTTTGCCTTGGCCTGGAACGAAGCACTTGTTGGCCAAGTTTCCTTGGGTGTAGGGCTGGAAGTTTAAGGTTTAAGGTTTAAGGTTAGTTAAGAGCTCGCAGTTTGGCGTTCTTCGGGCAGAAGAAGGGTATATGGGAGTTTCGGAAAGTAGGGACTCAAATTTACAGGACAGGCACCCCGCCGCCAGTTCTTTTTGAAGCCTACACCCGTCAAGGCCAAGGTCAGATATGCAAGGCACCCCATTGTTGAGGGCATGCGAGTCACTCATGAACACAGGGAGCCGTACTGCAGCACTCGAAAGGTCCTTAACACGAAGAGGTCCAGACAAGGTACTTAACACACCCCTCTGTCTGTATCCATATTGCCGCTAAGAGATCCCAATAAAGCCCTAGAGACCTTATAGAAGCGCTTATGGAATCCCTTAAACCCAACCCTTTCTTAAACACCAAACCTTGGCAACCCTAACCCCCAAACCCAAAACCCTAAACCGCAAACCCCGAACCTTAGCAACCCTAACCCCAAACCCCAAACTTGAGACCCTAAACCCCAACCCCCGACTTGTGATCCTGAACCCGAGCCCCAAACTTGAGACCCTTGATGTTTGTTTTGTCCTGGGAGGCACTGCTGGCCGGCTGGCAGGCCAAGCGTGCTCAAACCGACGAGGCCCAGGCTATACTATAGGGGCCTCTACAATTACCTACACTAATTTAAAGGATCCGTTAAAGGGATCCTTCAAGGGGTCTATAAGGGACACTATAAGGGTACTATGATGGGCCTGAATTATTACTCATACTATTTTCGGGGGTTGCTGATCCTATTCTAACTATTGAGGCCAGCTCTTGGTTCCTTTGTCGGTAGGGCCTGAGTTAAGGGATCTGTGTTGACAAGAATGTTTGCTCATCTTCCGAAGGGAAGTAAAGAAACTTGCCCCTTAATGCATGCTTAAATATACAACGTCAAGATTGCCCCTATAGTAATCAAGTATTGGTATGATTCAGTAACATGTATGCTACACAGTCTACATCTTGAGGACATTTCATGTCGTCAGTACCATCTGCATGTTGTTAGTGCTCTTGACGAATACTGCTATTGGATCATCCCAGCCCCCTCCAACCCTGCATGACCGTTTCTTGGGCGTGTGGCTGAACCTCTGGGGATAATCTGCGCGTCGTGGTCAAGGGTGTTGTACACCCAACTCCGAACCCTTGTGCACTTGGGGTCAAGCATGTCGTAAGCCCTACAAGCCCTTGTGCCGAAGGCAGGGAAGGCGCTCGAAGCGTGGTTGGCGCCTATTGGGCTCCTCGGTAGTGTGACTGAGTTCTGTCAACCTGACGTTCTCTGCTTGATGATATAAACCCTGCATTACCCTAACGGTTGATGATATAAATCCTGCATTACCCATAATAAGGAATATACCATAATTCCCATAGTTTAGGGTTCATCAACCGTAAGGACCCTAAACTATGGGAATTATGGCATATTCCTTATTATGGGTCATGCAGGATTTATATCATCAACCGTCCTAAGTTCCATAAGACTTGCATCCCGAGAGCCGCAACGCCGCGTTGAGAAAATCAAGCCCCCATGCTCTATCCAGGACTTTCGTTTTCTGCAGGTGAAGGAGGCGATGCAGCATTTGCTGGCTTATCACCATTCTGTAACCGGAGAGGAAGGGAAACAAAAACCGACAGACGAGAGGACGGAATTGACAAGACCTTTGAACAAGATAAACCCCGAAGCCTTAGCCGATCTCCCGAATTACGCTGGGACTCTCGATCCAGCTGTGAAAGCCCCAAAGCCGGACAACCCAGCTTGCTTTAGTTTAGCTTTTTTTGTAACCCCTTCTATACCCTAAGCCTACAACCTGAGCCCTCAGATGCCCTCAGCACCATAGGCCCTCTAAGCTCCAGCTATTTGGGGTTCATATTTAGAATCCTAAAAGCAACTACTATGGGGCCTCTGGGTAGCTAGAGGCCATAAAGCTCCGCCTCTGAACCCTCGCGACCTCGACCGAGGCCGCTGGTGGCGCAGCGCTGCGCCGCGGCCGCCAAAGCCATCGCTGAGTCCGCGAAGAGCGCGGAGGCCGAAGCTCATAAGAGGCCAAAAGGTTCCCATAATAGGGTTCATATTAAGGAATCCCTACCCCAAGAATCTTAACCCCCCCTTTAGGCCTCCCATCCGAAGCTAAGAGACGTCTAAAAACCCCCAAAGTAGGTAAAATAGTGGCCCAATCCCTTTAAAAGGCTATTATTCTACATACTTTTGGGGTCCAGGTGACAGAGTCTCCGAGGTGTCTCACAGATGTGCACCTTGGAGGTTCATGGGTCGTTATAAACTGGGAAGTAGTTAGGGTAGCTATGGTTATAACCCCTATGAGGGGACTTATAACCCCGTTTATAACTACCCATGAACCTTCAAATAAATCCTAAACCCATCTACCCATACAGACCCGCTATAGACCCCTTTAAAGGGACCCTTGAAGGAACCTTTATAACTACCCATGAACCTCCAAGTAGGCTCCTCAATCCCGCCAGTTTCGCCGTGGTGTCATGGAGGTCCATGGTCCCCAGAGACTCCACTATCCCTTAGTTAGGGAATTTTCCGTAAGTCGTAAATTATAGTAGGATCCTTAACATGGTTTTAACTGAGGAATATTCCATAAATTATGGTCGGATCCTTATTATGGTTTAAGGAATATTAGTCTTCAATTCAGGGATATTCGAGTCTCTGGATCTCCAGGAATCTCCCCGAAATGGTTTCTGGCGGCATGCCAGCGGGGTTCCTGATGGTCTCTCTTCCTGGTGTTTAGGGTTCTGGGTTTAGGGTTTAGGGGATTCCCAAAACCCTAGCGTTTTAAGGTTTCGAGCCTCTAATTCAGGGGTCATGAGTCATAGCCTACTATTTTGTAGGGTTTGCGTTTCAAGGGTTCGAGCCTTGAATTAAGGGGTCATAACCTACTATTTTGTAGGGTCTTAAAGTTTCGAGCCTCAAATCAAGGGGTCATAACCTACTATTTTGTCGGGTTTGGGGTCGCATGTTGCGGGTCTCCTAAGGGTCGCAGTCGTCTTCGCAGTGATTTTCGTGGGTTCTCTTGGCTTACCTTCGGTTAGAAGGGAATGGCAGAATGGTAGTAATAGCAGTTATTATTATACCCCATTCCTCCATTCCCTACTAACCAAAGGTAAGTTGGTCGTGGTGGTGGTCACGCTCAGTTTGGTGCTCCATCACTGTCTAAGGTCAGAAGTACAGGCCCTTCATATCTACAGGATGCCCAGTACTACCCTTATTCCCTTTTTGTAGTCCTAGGGTTCCTTATGAAGCTACCCATAGGCCCCAAAGCAGTTCCTTTTTGGGATTACATTATATAGGATTCTAAATATGAACCCCCAAAAGGAACTACCTTGGGGCCTTAGGGTACCCAATACCAAAATGGGAGCCCGTTTTATTCTTCGGTTACGGGGCATCTTGGACCCTCGGGGCCGTTTTGAGGGAGTTCCAGGGATCCTTAGGAGGCTACCTATAGCCTCCATGTGTAGTTCCTTTTTTTGGTGAACCAGTTTTATGGTTAGGATCCTATAATAGAGATCTTTGTAGTTCCTTTTTGGGTTAACCAAAATGTCTATTATAGGATCCTAACCATAAAACTGGTTAACCAAAAAAAGGAACTACAATGGAGACTGTAGGTATATTGTAGTAGGTCTATAGGGATCCCAGGATTAAGGGCCCATACTAGGGGCCCATGGTTCCAACAGTTGACACTGATTGGGATCTACGCTGGCGCAAGGGGTTGTTGTGGTACTGTAGCGGCCTGAAGAATAATACTTACCTATACTATTTTGGGGCGTCCTTATTATTAGGTACTATAAGGCGCCTACTTGGAGGTTCATGGGTAGTTTTAAGTGGGTGATAGTTAGGGTAACTATGTATGGTTATAATCCCTATTAGGGGACTTATAACCCTATTTAACACTACCCATGAACTTCCAAGTATATTACGGTCACCATTAGTCATCATTGGACAGTACCCTACTGCTAGGGTGGGCTTCTCAGGTATGCACATGACTTCCAGCACTGCAAAACTTCTCGCAAGGCTCAGCAAGCAGTGGAGGAGAAATCCCGCAGATGGCAGCAGGCTAGCAATCCTTGTGGACAGGGATTCCTGCTTGCAGGGTTGGGACTGTAGGCGGCGTAAGCATTCAAGAATTCCACAGGCATTTTTGCTCAGGGTTTGCTGTTGAAGGGTGTGCATGACGATGTATCTGAGAAAACCTGGCTGCTAGATCAGCTGGCAACGCACGACTTATCATCTAGGAGTGTCCTCCGATGACCTCCGTTCGATTCCATTCCACCCCACATCGTCTCAAACCACTCAAATCAACTTGCAAGGGTTTCCTGGGCCTTTTCAGGTAACAAAAAGAGTAGTATAATTCAGGGTAGGTGGCAGAGGCAACTTCCAAACTCGGCTGTGCAAGCTACTACAGGCAGCCCTAGAAGAAGCCCAGCGCCACCGGTTCTCATTGGCTCGACAGCGCCCTGCCTGCAGTAATGTAGGAGCCTGATTACGAAACCCAGGCCCTATAACCCCCAATATACTATAGGATTCATGTAAGGAACCCTAATAAAGGCCCAAGGTTTCTTAATCAGGTTCCTACATTAGCCTGCTTGGAGCTTTTGTGCGTGACACTCTCCCAAAGCCCGATTGAAACCTGAAGTCGTTAACTCCGAAACCTTAAACCCGCAAACCCAAAACCCTTACCCTATTCCTCCTGGGACCCTATTATGGGGTCCTTAAGGGGTCTAGGGCCCTAACTATGAGGTCCTTGGAGGGATAGGGTTACTACAGGGGACACAATAATTATCAATACTATTTTGCGGGTTCCTTATTATATAGTTGTAGTACCATGGGCTGCAAAACCCGATTCTAATCATTAAGGCCCCTACATGAGAGGTTGAAAGTTGCAGGCCAGGCTTCCAATGCGCGGTTCTCACATGTTCCGGCCAGGTAGGCTCAGGGATAGTTTGCATGGCTTGTCAGAGCCTAGAAAGTCGTAACGTGGTACGGTAGGGAGTCGAGGCGGTTAGGCTCAGGGTTTATTGTTTACCTTAACCCGGAACAACCTACGTGTTTGAGGACGTAGATAAGGAAATCATAGTAAGGAACCCTAAAAAGGTAGGTTCTTCAGGGTTAAGGTAAGGTTTCCAAGGTTTATGGTTTAGGGCTTCAGGTTTTATGGTTTAGGCTTCAGACGCATGTATACCGACCCGAGTATTCGTGCGGCGGGCTCCGGCTACGACATTTCTGCTGCTTTATTGTTGGGGCCACTGTCCAACGGATACTGCTCCCGCTACTTCTGCAACTCTACGGGTGTTGATGCTAATATTCTCTACGAGAGTAATGATGGACCTGCGGTACTGCTACCACAGGTAATTACAGGTACTTTACAATAGTGCCACTCGTTCCTGCTGCGGTGTTGCAGCACCTGCAGCACCACTACTTCCCTGACGGTGATGACGATGATAGCGACAACGACGGCTGCTACTACTACGACATTACACACAGGGTGGGAGGAGTCATCCGCAACACACGCCATTCAGGACCAGAGAAGCAACTGTAGACTGACCTACCAATCTGCCTCAAAGTTGAACCCTCCACCCTGATTCTCAGAAAGCCCTGTAACTCGTAATGCGGGAGTATGCCCGCAACTGTACTTCGCATCTTCTTGCGACTAGTATAAGTAATGCATGTCTGTTAGAGTTTAGTTGCCTTCACCGCTGGTTCAGCTGAGGCGCCTGGAACGAGAAAAGCGAGAGTTCCAGCTTGCGCAGGACGGATTCTAACCCCAGAAGATACCCATAGGCTCCATTGTAGTTCCTTTTGGGGATTGCCTTATCGGATTCTAAATAGGAACCCCCAAAAGGAACTACTATGGAGAGTCTAGGTACTTAAGCAGAATTCCTTCAATGCCAACAGCACACCTGTCTTGTAGGGAGTGCGGCCTCCTTTCAGTTGAAGAGGTTCAGGAATCTGTTGGAAAACAACCTACAAATGAAGCCTTAACCCAAAGCTCTGTGGAGGTTGGAAGGGCTAGAAGCGTTCATGGGTAGTTAAAAATGGGGTTATGTTTAGCGTAGCTATGATTATAACTCCTATTAGGGGACTTATAACCCTATTTATGACTACCCATGAACCTCCAAGTAGGCCCTAAACCCTATACAATTATAGAATCCCTATGGGTCCCTTTAAAGGGACCCTTATAACTGCCCATGAACCTCCAAGTAGCAGTTAGCAAGGGCGCCCAGAACAGAACAAGGCGAGACCAACATCCTTCAATTAAAAAAGACCGTAGCAAAGCCACTCTCCCCACCCTACCTTAGGGTATAGGATATAGGGTTTAGGGTATAGGATTTAGGGTTTAGGGTATACGAGTTAGGGTTTAGGGTTTAGGGTTAAGGCGTACCTTAACCCTGAAGAACCTACCTTTTTAGGGTTCCTTATTAGGATTTCTTATCTAAATCTACGTCCTCAAAATCGTAGGTTATTCCGGGTTAAGGTAAGCCCTAAGAGGCCAAACCCTCTAGTCCATTGCAGGAGGAGTATCACCGGCAAAGTGAGGCCAAGATCCGCCAGGTGCCTCCTTGGTCTCCGACATTAGGATTTACCCCAGCATTGATGTTTGCGGCAACACCTACGGTTTTTTGAGTTTTGGTGGGGTTTCATATAATCGTTGGCACCATTAGTCGTGGTATCCCTTTTAGTATCGCGGATGGTTGAGGCCTTTGCAAATTCGGTTGATGGCGTTGCTCCGGATTGACAACCGAAAAACCCAAAGCCCTGCAGACCTAAACAAGGACTAAGTGTCAAACCCTAAAAACCCCAGGGGGACAAGTTATTCCCTATACTGCCCTCAGAATCGCCATGTCAGCTCTGCCAGCACCATCTGCCCTCACATATCGAGGCGAACGTATCTTTACTACATATACTACATATGTGTACATAACTCCGTTTATATATATATATATATACACATACATATACATTTAGTTATTTATGTGTCTTGTTTTATGTTATGTCCACTGTTTTGTTTATATGTATTCATTAAGTATGCCTTTTTGTAGTCGTTTACATTTACAAATTAACATAATATGAATCTATGAGGCGCCATAGTAGAATCTAGTGTGGTCTTATAATGAAATGTCATATCAGAACATTGAACGCTCTTCGAAGCGTATGGAATCTATTCAGGGTGCGGGCCATGCGGGCCTTCAGCAATGTTAGCACACTAAAGCCACATAGGACTGAACGAGCCCAGAAACCCACAAACCCTAGCTTTGTCTCCTGAAGCCGGGACCTGTAAGCCCTGAAATGTGAGATAAGTGATCAAACAGAAAGCCAATGAGTAAAAATCCGACAAACAGATATACATCCATATATATATATATATATATATACATATATATATATATATATATATGTGCAAACACAGACTACTACTCCTTCATTATTCTATTGATTTTTCCGTGGTGTGGATGACAAGAAGGAGCGTTGTCGCCTGGAGCGACTGCGTGAGCTTTCGGAAGCTCGGCGGGCGAAGCGCCGGGCAGCCCGGCGTTCTTGGGGGAGGGTGGGGGAGGGGGGGAGCGGGCAATGTTGTGTTATCAAGATCTACAGTTGAGCACCTGACAAAAATTTCATAATTAAAGATTAACTATGCATATATATAAATAAATAAATAAATAAATATATATATATATATATATATGCATTTATTTATGTGTGTGTACATATGTACATTCACGACACATGCTCTATGGATAATGTGTACACACGGTAGAGATTTATTTGTTCCTTTGTTTACCTTTTCTTGGTTGTTGTGCACGTTGTTGTTTCGATGCTACGGGCTTTGCAGGGTGTCAGAAATGCTTAGCAAGGGCTTGACGGTTTGTTCAGTCTTTGACTATGAAATTTCGTCAAAGCTGAAATTAACCCTAAACCCTAAACCCTAATTTTCAACCCTGCATGGAGATCGAGCGGCCTGAAGTTGGAGTTGGGCCGGAGGGATGCTCGTTCCGATTGGAGACGTGGGGATCGGGATCAACTCCTTGGGGAGCTGCTGAAGGCTTTTTGGAGCGGTTGGAAGGGTCACTTGGAGGTTCATGGGTAGTTGTGAATGGGGGTATAAGTCCCCTAATCGGAGTTTATAACCATAGTTACCCTAATCATCCCTAATTATAACCCCACTTCTACCAGGGATATAACCATTATAACCATATAGTTACCCTAATTATAACCCACGCAAAACTACCCTTGAACCTCCAAGTAGACCCTAAACCCTGAACCCTTATAGAACCCCTATAGATCCCTTTAAAGGGGCCCTTAAAGGGACCCTTATAACTACCCATGAACCTCCAAGCAGGATCTGCTGCACCGAGACTTGGGGTCCCTTCGCTGAGAAAGCTTTATTGACATGTGGGTAGTTCTCAAAATTAAGGTCCCTTTTTGGGTACCCTACAAGGAACTCCAGAAAGTTGGAATATGGTTTCATGTAGGATACCCTATGATTTACCATAGAAGGGTTAGGATAATCATATTCCAACTTTCTGGTTTTTACCTTAAATACTAGGTGCCGTATTATAAAGGGGAAATAATTTTGACAACCACCCATGTCTACACTTGTAAAGCTGAGCCAGGCTGAGCGGTTGCTTTGGGGACATCACATTCAACCGGATGTGAGGAGCATGCTCACTTGCAGCAGGGAAGCATACACCAGCCTGGTGGGAAAAGTCTTGGGTATTTACAGGTCAATACGGAGTGGTGCCTTCGACCCTGACTTGGATCCTGCGTCACGAGTTCGCCAGGCTGCATATGCTGTGATCTTTGCAGATGACCGTGGCGGCTTTCCTCGAGATGAACCACTAGTACTACTAGTACTACTACGGTTGATGATATAAATCCTGCATTACCCATAATAAGGAATATACCATAATTCCCATAGTTTAGGGTCCTTAAGGTAATGCAGGATTTGTATCATCAACCGTAGTACTACTAGTATAGTACGAGTGATTAAGACCAGAACTGCCAGTACTACTATTAACCTGCTGCAGATCAGTTTTTGAAAGGCCCGACGATGACTCGGTGGGATCAGCTTCGGAGGGCGAGGAGATGGGTCCTTTTGTACTTCCCAAAGCCCGAGGCATCTAAGGACTCATGTATTAAGGCTTTTGGGCCCAAAGACCACACTATATAAGGCTTTTGGGCAATTTTGATGCGCAGGGAAAGCCCCTGCACTCCAGCAGATCTGCCCCATCCAGGCGACAATGAGCGGAGCCGCCTGCTCGCTACACTGGAGGAGGCCATCAGAATTCCACGCCTTAACGCGTTTCATGGGGGATGGCTACAGAAGCAACGTTTAGTGGGAATCCCTGCATAAAAACCGTACTTGCTGCTTTTTGTATACGTGTTAAATGTTTTTACCTTTGCGAGGCTTCCGGAATTCAACTTTGCGCTGCAGGGCTTCCGGGGTTTCAACTTTTCGGGATGGGGGTTGGGGTTTGGGGTTTCGGGATAAATGAGTTTCGAATTCCAAACTTCGGTTTAGGCCTCCGAGTTCACCGTGTAGCAATTCTTTGGTTATATTTGGGATTTAGGTATAACACTATAACAATGAAATCTATAGACTCCGGCTGCGCTACCCGAGCCATCACCTGAAGTTGTGCACCACCTGGACGAATCTGTTTGATTCCGGCAATGCGGATCCCGACATGAGGTGCATCTTACAGTGCTCTGACGGCTGCGGCCCGGTCCTCAACGGCCATGCCTGGGTCGGTTGCCAAATAGTCCGCCAGCGATGTGACGATGACTGAGATGGGGATGCAGCCAGGCAGTGCGTCTCGAAGCCAGTGTAAGCTCACAGCCACCGTGAGCCTCTGCTATTGCCTCGTCGCCTGCGCGAAAACCCGACATGTTGGATTTCACCGCGAAGACCTCACCGCAGTGCCGCCACATCCCAAGAGCTAAAAGGACGCCCCACAGCCCCCCCCCCCCCCCATCCCACCCCTGCAGGCCCTTGAAAGCTTCAACTCCTGCCGGCAAAGTGCATCCAAACACCCAAGTCCCAAGTCGCAAACCCTGCATCTCGTAGCCTTCCTTAGATAGCGAGTGGGAGAACTCCAAGCGTTTTGGCTTTATAGATTAGCACTATCTTTCAAAGTTTGAGCTTTTCGGGGCCCGGTTGTTGAAGAAGCGAGCTTCTAGCCTTGGAGTCTACGAACTCTTTTATGGGAGTTTCTAAAATAGGGACCCCAATATAGTACCCTAAATAGTAGGATCCTTGGTATAAGGACCCCAACATGAGCTACCCCCAATTTTGGGAAGCTCCCATGTGACCCTAAAACCCATGCCCCGTCAACCCTTGCAGAAGTCTTGTACAGCCCCATACCAAAAAATGCCTTATGAACACCCCAAATCCCGAAACCCTGAACCATAAACCCTAAGCGAAACCCTAAACCTTAAATCCTAAACCCCGAAACCCTAAACCCAGAACTCCGAACCGCCTAAACCCAGAATTCCGAACCTCGAAGCCCTAAACCCCGAAACCCCAAACCCCTGAACCCCGAAGCCGTAAACCCCAAAGCCCGAACCGCCTTTTAAGGATCCCTTTAAGGGAACCATAAGGCCCCTATAGTACCCTTATAGTATCCCTAATAGAACCCCACACCCAGTGCTAGTCCAGGAGAGGGATCGGCGGCTGCCACACCGAAAGCCCGGCACCGTCAAAGCTTTCAGTAATGAGAGTAGGGTTCCTTTCAAAGGGTCTATAATCTAAAACAAGGGTTACCATAAGTAATTAGAGTAGGGTTCTTTTACAGGGTCTATAAGGGTTACTATAAGGGCTACTTTAAGGATTCAGTGTATAGAGGGGCCTAAATCATTACCTATACTCTTTTGGGGGTTCCTTGCAAAATTATAGTATAAATGGGCTCCCCCGAAACCCGCTTCTAATTATTCAAGCCCTTACACTAAGGCTTCTGGGGTTTTGAGTTTATTGGGCTTTAAAGGGTCAATAGGATTCTCTATAGCTTACAGGATAAGTTTGGGTGCTTGAAGGTCTAGAAAGCTTGCTCGTTTAACTGCTACAGGTAGCTTCTTGAGAGGGGCATTTCAGATTTAAAGTAAAAGCCAGAAAGTTGGAATATGATTATCCTAAACCCTTGTATGGTAAGTTATAGGGTATCCTACCCTGAAACCATATTCCAACTTTCTGGAGTTCCCTTTAGAGGTCCAGGATAGAGGATGGACTGTTTGAGGTCGAAGGGGCTCGGGTGATGACCTGAGGGTTTAGGGCTTACCTTAACCCGGAATAACCTACGTTTTTGAGGATGTAGATAAGGAAATCATAGTAAGGAAGCCTAAAAAGGTAGGTTCTTCAGGGTTAAGGTAGGGTGTAGGATTTCAGTTTCGGGCTTAGAAGCAGAATTCCAAACCATGTTGGGCTTAAGGTTGAGGGTTTCTCAACGAAAGCACAGCAAAAAACATACACCATAAAGCCTAAACCCTTGCCTTAACCCGGAACAACCTACCTTTTTAAGGACTTCAACAAGGAAGTTAAAATGAGGAACCCTATATAGAAGGGTAGGTTGTTCAGGGTTAAGGTAAGCCTTACTTTGCTGTGAAATGTCGTCTGGCCTCCTGGCTTTGCAGCCTCGCAAGACTTCGGGCCTTGCAGACAACCCCAAGGGTCCAAGTGCCTAATTAAGTATATGGGTAGCTGTCAAAATTAAGGTCCCTTTTCGGGTGCCCTAAATAATAGGTGCCGTATCATACTAGGGACCCAAAAAGGGACCCTAATTTTGACAACTACCCATATACTCTCCAAAATCCTAACCTACATAACTGCTATCCTAAAACCGAATACCTAATTATTGGGTCCATTGGACCCTTGCAGACAAGGAGGAGGAAAGCACATCAAAACGCACCCGCTAAGCCCCAAATCCTTCATTAGTAGTTATTGCTGTTACCAGTATTTTTAATATTAATGTGATGGTTATTGTTGTTATTATCGTTGTTGTTATGGTTATGAATTAGCATTGCTTTTTCATATTATCACCATCTACAATTATTGACTCTCAAAAGACGAAGGCTGGCTTGGGCCCAGACGGAAGAAACTGGGCTGGCGCCAAAGCGACCGGAGCCGATCGACGAGGAGCCTCGTAGGATTCGGGTTTAGGGTCTGGGGTTTCGGGTTTAGGGGTTTAGGATGTACTGTTTGGGGTTTAGGGGGTTTGGGGTTTAGGGGTTTAGGAAGCAAGGTGAGCCTAGAGACTCCAAGATAAGATCTTTCAAGGTTCCTGAAGAAGGATTCCTAATTAGATGACAATTCTTTTTCAAAGATGTTGCCAGCAGGCTTTTGTTTTATAAGGTTGCGTGAAGGCTTAAGTTTTAGCTTGATTCGTGGATGTGTCTTCCGGGATTGTTGGAGTCTCTGGGATAGTGGTCTACCGTATGTAGGGTTTGGGGTTTTCAGGGTTCCCGTGGTTTCGGCTCATGGGTGCTTGTAGGTTTCGAGGCGGTTGGGGGTTTAATCCACTGTCTCCCGAAGCCCCTACGATTTGGTTAGTAGGGAATGGAAGAATGGTAGTAATACGGTTGATGATACAAACTCTGCATTACCCATAATAAGGAATATACCAAAATTCCCATAGTTTAGGGTCCTTAATGTAGTGCAGGATTTATATCATCAACCGTAGTAGTTATAATTGCACCCCATTCCTCCATTCCCTACTAACCAAAGGTAAGACGAAAGCAACATCCATAGCTTGGAGGCGCCCGTAGCATGCTTTCAGGCATGTTCCTCTCGAGCCCGTATGAAACTCATGAACGCCTATCAAGGCCGGTTTCAGGGTATGTACTTAGTTCTCGGAAAAGCCCAAGCCCAAAACCCCCCTGGGCCCTTGAAGGAACCCTAGACCCCTTTGAAGGAATCCTTAAAGGAACCCTTCAAGGAATCCTTGCAATTTAAGCCAAACCATCATCTCCACAGGCCTGCTACTGAGCCTTTCCTTTCCCAACTTTAGGCTTTAGGGTTTATAGGGTTTATAGGGTTTAGGGTTTATAGGGTTTAGGATGTAGGGTTTAGGGTTTGTAGGGTTTAGGGTTTAGGGTTCATGTACCCATATAGTATATACTGTCTATAGGGACTTTAACATGGGCACAGGGACCTGTAGGGTTTACTTGGGTCAAAGGAGTCCTGGACTCTGGTCAATATAAATTCTGGATACGATCCGTGTCTCGGAGTTCATTTTTCCCGATTCCTGGTTCTGTTGATACAGGCCCAAATGGGTAGTGGTCAAAATCAAGGTCCCTTTTTGGATCCCCTAATATAGTACGGCACCTAATATCTAGGGTACCCCAAAAAGGGGACCATAATTTTGGCAACCACCCAAATACGTCCCTTGACCCTAAACCCTAAGCATGAAGCCCAGGAAACCCAAGGTCTGGACCCCACAGTCCCGTCATACAAGTAGCCCGCGCCGATAGCAACACCAACAGCAAGAGAGCCATGAGTTGAAGCAGCCGCAGGGGTTTAAGTTGTGTTGTTTTTTTTTACGGTTTACGGGTTAAGGGTTTATAGGGTTTGATGGTTTTTGTTTTACGGTTTATGGCTTTAGGGTTTAGTAGGGTTTAATCACCTGGAATCCTCAAACCCCTGCACCAGGAGGAGCGAGGTTATTCGGATGAAAGCTTCGAAAGTGCAGGCGCAACCCGGGAACCCAAAGCCCTACAGCCAACCCCCCTTAGGCTCCAAGGGCTCGTCTTTTGAGTTGTTTGGGCTCCTTTTTGCTGTGCAGTGCAGCCGAGTCGGGTTTAGGGACCTGGCAATGCTAGCAGAGTAGCTTGCTCTGAGTTTCAATGCTTCGAGCTTACGCTGCGGAGGGAGCATGGCGAGAGCTTAATGTAGGGGTCTTTTTTTAATAATTACCTACACTATTTTGGGGGTTCCTCGTTACAACTTGTAGTAAAATATACCCCACAACCCTATTCTAGCTATGAAGGCCCTGTAGTGAGTGCTTAGCCTGAAAGGTACGTTTCGATCGTGAGCCTGTAGTTCTTCGACACCCTATGGTTTAGGGTTTAGGGCACATGAAATCTCTGTGGTCCCGTGGCGCTCTTGCTCTGTAAGAGTTAGCGCATGAAGCCTTCTAAGCTCCTTAGCCCTAAAGAAACCCAAGCTGCCAAGTCCAAGAAGCCTGAACCTTACCCAGAGGCCCCATAGTAGTTCCGTTTTGGGATTAACCTCATAAGACTATGAACCCCCAAAAGGAACTACTATGGGGCCTTCGGGTAAACCGAAGCCCTCAAGCCATTCTGGCTTCCGATCGAGACTTTGTCTTTGGGTATGTTTGAGTAGACAGGCAAGTGTCCATCTCGGATCAAAGCATCCATTGTTTGTGTGGTTAGAGCTGAAAGGTATTCCGTTTCGCTTGAGGCTACCACTGTAGAACCATTCTAGGAGGGCTTGATCAGGCAGGTCATAGAACTAGCATCACGGTTAGCTTGGCGTTCTTGTGGTTGGCTCTTTAGACTTTAACTTTTTGGGTTTCTATATGAACCATAATAAGGAGGCTAAAGGTTTATCTCTTAGGAGGGGTTCAGAAGTCAGCCAAGGTTAGGAGAGTGGATGTGGTGCTGGAAGCCCTAAGAGGGGCGGGCACCATAGGATTACGGAAGGCTGCATAATCAACTCTGTTCTGATTCCGAAGGCCTCTGTAGCTTTCAAGACTCTCTGAGACGCACATGCAGTACCTCAGAGAAAAGACTCGACGAGATAGAGTACTACAGTATGTTATCTCCGAAACCCTGGTCTACTTCCCTACGGCCTCCCATATGGGAGTTTCCGACAATACGGGAATCTTACATAGTACCCCATGACTAGTAGGATCCTTACTATAAGGACCCCCAAAATAATGATGAGGTACTCCCCCAATTGTCGAATTGTCGGAAACCCCCCCCCCCCCCGTGTGATGGACACTTGCAGGCTATTTGACATGCCCTTGCTTGCAACAGTGTAAGACATTTGCACGAAAGACACGTCAAATAGACGCTGAAATTTTCACCGGCCGAGCGCATCCTGTGCCAAAGTCGGAGCACATGTCCCCGGGACAGGGCACTGACAGCGCTGAGCGCGCGGAGGGCGCTCAGGGCGCTGAGGGCGCTGCGGGCGGTGAGGGCGCGGAGGGATGCTGAGGGCGCGGAGGGCGCGGAGGGTGCGGAGGGCGCTGAGGGCGCTCAGGGCGCTCAGAGCGCTGAGGGCGCGGAGGGCGCTGAGGGCGTTGAGGGCGCTGAGGGCGCTGGGGGCGCGGAAGGCGCTGGGGGCGCTGAGGGCGCTGAGGGCGCGGAGGTGAGGGCGCGGAGGTGAGGGCGCGGAGGGCGGTGAGGGCGCGGAGGGCGCTGAGGGCGTGGAGGGCGCTGAGCGCGCGGAGGGCGCTGAGGGCGCTTATATAGGCGCTGGCGCTGAGGGCGCTGAGGGCGCTGGCGCTGAGGCGCGGAGGGCGCTGAGGGCGCGGAGGGCGCTGAGGGCGCGGAGGGCGCGGATGGTGCTGAGGGCGCTGAGGGTGCGCAGCGCGCTGAGGGCGGCGCTGAGGGCGGAGGGCGCAGAGGGCGCTGAGGGCGCTGAGGGCGCGGAGGGCGCTGAGGGCGCGGAGCGCGCTGAGGGCGCTGAGGGCGCTGCGCGGAGGGCGCGGAGGGCGCTGAGGGCGCTGAGGGTGCTGAGGGCGCGGAGGGCGCGGAGGGCGCTGAGGGCGCTGAGGGCGCTGAGGGCGCTGAGGGCGCGGAGGGCGCGGAGGGCGCGGAGCGCGCTGAGGGCGCTGAGGGCGCTGAGGCGCGAGGGCGCTGAGGGCGCGGAGGGCCCTGAGATCTGCGAGGGCGCATGCAGTATCCATGGCCCATCCATTTAGAATGCATGACGCACACGCTCTGATGTGCATGGTTTATAATTATAGCATGCGTTCACAGCATGCATGACCCAGCCTCACATTGACGTGCATGTTTGATGTGTTGTGAGTTCACAGCATCCATGGCCCAATCATATAATGGCGTGCATGGTTTATAATGCGTATAGATTAAAGCTATTGCATGATCTGTGCTCTGGTTACTAAGTAACTAATGAAGTCCAGTAACATGAACTATGAGTTAGGTAACCACACCTCCAAATGCTTTCAATGGACCATAGTCCGACGATGTTTTGTTGTTGATATATAACTGCTTCAACATTAGTGTACTTAAATTATAATTGCGATAACCAGATCATGGATTTATGTTGTACTTGAGGTGCTTATCAATCAACCTTAGTTGTGATCGACGTCGTGTTGAGTTGTAATTCAGTTATAAGTAGGGTGCTAAGTGGGAGATAGGTCCAGCGACGTGGCCTCCGAGTAAGTAGGCTAAGTGGGTTACCGGCTAAGTCCGCTAAGTGGGTTCCGCTGCGTCATGGCTATAAGTCCGATAAGTAGGATCAGCGCGCTGTTCTGGAGCCCACTCAAGCTACTTAGCCTACTTACGGATATGGATTTATCTTCACTTACTTATGTAAGTGCACTTAACCTACTGACGTGTGTGCCCTTCTCCTTCTTATGTAAGTCCTGTAAGTCCTACTTACCCTACTTATGTATAAGTGCAACCCTAAGTGACTCATACCACATATTTACATCCACCCGATATATCCCACTTAATAACCCCACAATAAGTTGACCTTAACTCACGCAGCCCGTGCTCTGGTAAGTCAGTTGGTCTTCACCTTTATAAGTCCAACATAAGTCCATCATCCACTTAGTAAGCCCACCAACCACTTATAAGCAAAGCGATCCTATATATTAGACCGGTAAGTATTCACTGCATCTATTTTGCCCACATGTATGCACATGTGTATGCTTTATAATTCGAGGTCACCATAGTAAGAACGACGTGCATTCTGAGTTCCATCGCGCAACTCAACTACTAGTACAGTGAAGCCACATGTAAAGTAGCGTCGCTGCTGCATGTAAGGGCTCAGCGCCCACTTCTTGAAACAATACTTGGGGCTTGAAAACGTAGCTGTCGAAGTGGCGTCCCAGAATGAGCTTGTGAAGTCCTGATAAGTCAAAACCGATTCTGCAATTTTGGTTCCGCGAAGTTTGCTGGCCCTGCCAACATTTTTTGCGCGTCGCATCTCAGAACTCTTGAATTTAGTGATGCTGATCTCTTCACAGATGCAACCTACCTTGAGCCATGTCCCCCAGCGTCTGCTCGCACGTAGTTGTTTTTTGGCGTGGGCGGGTCTCAACGACTGCGGCAGCAGCACTCGGTCCCTACAGGAAGCCTAGCAAACGAAGAAAACTACCCAAAAAATATGAAACAAGCTGCGACCTGCAGGCTTTGCCGGCAGGAGTCGTTCAGCTTCGGTTCCTGCCAAAATCCTGAAGGGTTTTGGACCACGGCCTGCATGGCTTTCCACGGATTTGGGACCGCGACCAGAATGCTTTCTCCCACGTACTGGCGCGTCCAAACATATTTTCGCCCAAGTACTGGTGGGATTCAGAAGCACGGCGCTTTGCCTCCCCACGTGTTTTTTATTATATTAGCTGGATTCAGAAGGCCACGCTCAAAGGTTTGGAAGGTGGCAACTTTGGGATTTATATAAGAAAACACTATTGCGTCAAATGGACGCCAAGCGTCCAAGGCACCCCCCCCCCCCCCCCCCAATATTGCACTGTTTGAAGCCTAAACTTCCACCGGCCAGGCTCCTATGAGAAGGACTTCGAGGAAGAGAGTGAGGCGAAGGGTTAGGAATCTTGTGGGGTATGTTATGCTAGGGTTTTATGAGCTCGGAGGAACACTCTCGGTAATGATCCAGGCCTCTATATTCTAACCCAGAGAGCCCAATACCCCTTAATTAAGGAATATGGCTTAAATTATATAGGGCTTGATATTATGATTTAAGCTATATTCCTTAATTAAGGGGTATTGGGCTCTCTGGGCCCCCCATTCCCTAGTAAGCACCACACTTTTGAGGCTTGGGAGTTGCAGCCCAGACCCCGTTTGGAGGATCTAGAAAGTAGATCCCCTAATTTGGGGCCCTATACTTTAAGGGTACGTTATAGGAACCCCCATTAAGGGATCTACTTTTTGGATCCTGCCGGGGGTCTGGGAGCTGCGTTGGGAAATCGGGAGTTGAGGCCCCTTAGCCCTCAGGGTATCCGATCTTGGGGTTTCCGACGACAATAGGGGATCTCAAAAAGGTACCCTAAAAAGTGGGATCCTGATTAAAAGGACCAAGAATAAGGTACCCCTACTTTTCGGAAACTCCCAATTAGGGCTGTAGGGCTTAGCATGCAGTTTTATCGGCTACAAGGAAGGAAATCATAGTTATATACGGCTGTTTCCAGCCGGCTCCCAAACCCTCCGTGTAACTACACGTGAACCTTCACGCAATACATAGGGCGGAATAAGTACAAATAGCATCCCTTATGTGCCGCAACTAAATGTGATACTGTTGATGGACAAAATCCTGCATGACCCTTAGGACTCTAAGCTATGGGAATTATGGCATATTCCTTATAATGGGTAATGCAGGATTTTGTCCATCAACAGTAGTATGATATACCCCCCCCCCATGCCCGAAGCCCTATTCCAGTCGTTAAGGCGCCCTTCAGGGTGCCCTGAAAGGTGTCCTCGCAACCGGCAAGCTCACAGTCACCAGCGTCGCCAGAAGCTCTTGGCGAAACGAGCAGCAGCCGCAGACTCGGTAATGTACCATGAGGCTCCATAGTAGTTGGGTTTTGGGGGCTCATGTTTAGAATCCTACAAGGTATTCCCGAAAAGGCACTACTATGGATCCTCTGGGTAGAACCTGAGGTTTAGGGTCCTAGGGTTTAGGCTTTAAGAATGCTGTTCCCCATGGTTCCCTTATTATAAAAGCTATAACCCATTATATACTATTCATCAATACTGACTATGACTCAGGGGTGCTAGATACAGTTATAAGAAAGGGTACCTGAAAGCCCTTCGCATATGGAGGCAATCGCCTTGAGCCCAAAGTCTTGGATAAACCAGAAAATCCCAGTAGCTTGGAATCCTAAACCTTAAACCCTAAACCCTAAAACCCTAAACCTTAAACCCTGAACGCTAGACCTTAAACCTTAAACCCTGAACACTAAGCCCGAAACCCTGAACACTAAACCCTAAACACCGAACCCTAAACCCTGGAAGCCCGCAGCCCCCGGAGCCTCGACATGGGTAAGTTGTCAAAATTGTGGTTTGCGCCGTTTGTTTTTAAGGACCCCTAAAAGGCACCATAACTTTGACAACAGCTTAACTAAGTATGCAGAATAATGGGCTCTGAAACCCTAGTCTAATGATTAAGGCCCCTGCATGAAGGGATCCTTTATCGGTTTCAGGCTCGGCAGGTAGGGTTTAGACCCCAGGCTTCAGGCTGTTTCTAGTGTCAACTTAGCTTGCAGACGACAAGAGCTGTTAACAGAAATTGAATCCTAAATATTCAGACCCTACCCATCGGCGCCATAGTAGTTCCTATACCTAAACCCTAAACCCTAAACCCTAAATACCTTACAGGACTCTAGATATGAGCCCCCTTAAAAGGAACTACTATGGCGCCTGTTCACCGCGACCTTGAAGCTGTCCCCGGAGACTCCAACATCCCTTAATTCAGGAATATACTTTAAATTCTGTAGTCGGATCCCTAATATGATTTAAGGAAGATTCCTTAGTTAAGGGATATCGGAGTCGGGCACCCTACAAACCCTATAGATCCCTTAAAGGAACCCTTATAGATCCCTTTGAAGTAACCCTTATAGATCCCTTAAAGGAACCCTAGTAGATCCCTTTAAAGGAACCCTAAAGGAACCCTTATAGATCCCTTAAAGGAACCCTAAAAAGGTCCCTTTAAAGGGAGTCTCTGCATCCTGAAGGCCTGGCGAGCAGCGCGATCTCCGAGAGTTCCATCGTTTCGGCACGCCCACCTCGAAGTGCAGCGCCAGGCTGTTAGGGTTTAGTGTTAGGGTTTTAGAGTTTAGGGTTTTAGGGTTTAGGGTTTTAGGGCTTAGGGTTTAGGGTTTAGGGCTTTAGGGTTTAGGCTTTAGGCTTTAGGGTGGCGCCAGGTTCTCTCAGAGAAGGGCTAAAGTTGGCTTATCGGAAATGTCATGTAGGGTTTAGTGTCTTGAGAAATTCTGAGCAGCTCCTTTAACTCAAATGGTCCTATGAAGGTTGCTGTGAGAGGTTTACGATGAGGGCTGTCGTCATAGTTATAGCGTTCGGGCCTTATGAATGTGGGTTTTCTTGATCAGGGTTCAGAGTTTATGTAGGTTTCAGAATTTCGGGTTCATGTTGGGTTTAGGAAGGAGGGCTCCGATGGTTTAGGATTTTAGGCGTCAGTGTTTATGTGGGGTTGACGGTTTTCGGTTTACTGTTAATGTGGGGTTTACGATTTGGGGCTCTTGGACCTAAGAGGGCTTTGGCAAGCAACAGGTGTGGTCTCGATCCACCGATGTGTTAAACACGTGTTGGCTTAAAGCGAAGCCCAAGGAAAGGCAGAGCCTGTGGCGGTTACCGCGATTCGCGTTCTTGCTTTTTGTGGTCTGCTGGTTGTGGGTGGTTGGGGGCTGTGCAGCTTGGAGGTTTGCAGTCAGACCAGGCCTGAAAGATGTCAGGATGTCAGGATGGCGGCTGTGGGCTTCGAGAACCAGGACCGTCCTTGTGCCCTCAAAAAAGGGGTAAAGGGTCCCAAATAGTGGGCATTTAGGGTCTAATAGGGGGTAGATGGAGGGTCTAAGAATGTTCTATGGCTTACCGTGCTTACCCACAGTGGTTTCGATTCTGGCTAGTGGCAGGCTGAATGCAACTGCTGCTCGTGAAATTTAGAAATGGTGGTACCCGCTGAAACTGTATCACCGATGTATCCCGAAGCCCTCCAACCCGCGAGCACATCACGTATGCACCCACAGGAACCGATTGTGGGGTTCTCCTTGTGCAGGCAGCCGCCGCGTGCAGCTGCCCGTGACAGAGTCAGCCACGTCCAGGAGTGAACCGACGCGGCCCCAGATTTTCGGGCTTCGGATTAAATTGGTTTAGGGCTTAAGGTGTAGGGTTAGATTAGTTCAGGGTTTTAGCGTGAAAGTCAAATGAACCCATGGTTTAGCGGCAGATTCTCCTAAGGTAGGAACCTGATTAAGAAACCTTGGGCCTTTCTTAGGGTTCCTTACATTACTATTTTGGGTTTCTTAATCAGGTTTCTACATTAGGGTGTCGGGTGTTGAGTTTATGATTTCGGGATAAATGATCCTCGGCTCTAAAGTGTACGTAGGATCTGGGGCTGAATCAGTTTATGGTGCTTCGATGGGCCTTGAGGGTGTCATAGCATTCTTCCTAGGGGTGCGGTGTTCGGCAAGTTCTGACAGGGTTTGCGGAAACCAAAGCAAGAACAGGGATAGAATGCTGCATTGCAGCTTCTCCGTTTTGCGTGAATTCGTTCGCCAAGTTTGCGACCACCTCAATTTCATAATGCTTGTATAATATAATATGCCTCCGAAAAATGTGCAACAGCAGCAGGCAGGCTGACTATTGTTGCGGGCGCTACGTCCCTGAGATTTTGAGGCATTCCCAGCAAGTCGTCATCCAACAACGCCGGGAGCAGACGTGACGCAAAATAGATTCAAACCGCGTCTTTTGCAGGGTTCTCCGCAGGTACGGCCAGTAGTGTGTAAAAGTTTCAAGTCACAATACTGTATGTCGAACATGTTCAACATATCAGCACTGAGTCACAACACAAGCTGGCACCAAGAGACTCGCCATGTGTTGGAAACACAACACCTTGTTAATTGAACTGCCCATGTGCCTACACCTGTGCCGTTCACCTTAAGCTCAGTGCCCAGGAGTGTGGCAGAGAGCATCCCGGAAAGCTGGGAAGGCGGAATGTCGACTTTTGCTGTTTGGCATGGGCCAAAGGCTGAAGGAGTCGCACATTAGTCGTGGTTGCAAATGAACCGGGTTGATATGTCACAAGTGTGCAAACGGAAGAGCTGTCCTTGGTGGTGGTAGTGGTATGGTAGTAGTAGTCGTCGTCGTCGTCGTAGTAGTAGTAGTAGTGGTAGCAGTAGTAGTAGTAGTTGTTGTTGTAGTCGTTGTAGATAGTAGTAGTATAGTAGCAGCAGTAGTAGTAGTAGTAGTAGTAGTAGTAGTAGTAGTCGTAATACTAGTAGTAGCAGCAGCAGCAGCAGCACTCCTAGCGCAGCAGCAGCAGCAGCAGCAGCAGGAGCAGTAGCAGTAGCAGTAGCAGTAGCAGCAGCAGCAGCAGCAGCAGCAGCAGGAGCAGTAGCAGTAGCAGTAGCAGTAGCAGCAGCAGCAGCAGCAGCAGCAGCAGCAGTAGAAGTAGAAGTAGCAGCAGCAGCAGTAGAAGTAGCAGAAGCAGTAGCAGTAGCAGAAGCAGAAGCAGCAGTAGCAGCGCAGCAGCAGCAGCAGCAGCAGCAGCAGAAGCCGCAGCAGCAGCAGCAGCAGAAGCCGCAGCAGCAGCAGCAGCAGCAGCAGCAGCAGCAGCAGCAGCAGCAGCAGCAGCCGCAGCGGTAGCGGTAGTCGCAGCAGCCGTAGCAGCAGTAGCAAGGCGTAGCAGCTAGAGTAGCAGTAGCAGGAGTAGCAGCATCAATAGCAGTAGCAGCAGGAGCAGTAGCAGAAGCAGCACGAGGAGTCAAGAGCAGTAGCAGCAGGAGAAGAAGCAGGAGCAGCAGGAGCAGCAGGACCAGCATAGTACTACTAGTAGTTGTAGTATAGAAGTAGCAGCAGCAGTAGAAGTAGCAGCAGCAGTTGCAGTAGCAGTGGCAATACTAGCAGCCGGAGCAAGAAGGGGTAGTAGTGCTAGCAAGAATCGTCAGTATCCGGCAATGAGGATTCATAATTGAATGCGTGACATCAAAACCCGTCAGAAGCTCTACAAAGCCAAGCGAACGCACAAACTCGAAACATATTTCTAAACCGCTGAATCCCGTGAATGTACTTTCGCCTTCCGAAATTCCAAGTCGAAGGCTCTTCTTAGCCCGAAGCCTGAACTCACAACCGCCCGACAGATTGAAACCTTAAACTGCCTTAAACCGGCCTTTTTTGCTCCGTGACGTTTCAGGCAGTGTCGACGTGCCCCAGGCCTTTTCAGCCACTCGACGGAACTGGGACCTTTCCTGCGATACTCGGGTTTAACGGACCCTGCCGTCCACCTACATACAGTCTCCAATGTTGTCCGCCTTTATTATGTTTCGGTTTTATCATTGGATCCCGGCTCTTCGACCTGTCTGGTAAATTACACAGAGCGAAATTTGCTAAAGCATACCAGTAAACCGAAGCTTAGAAGCTCCGGGGGAAAGTTCCCAGGCCCTGAAACCCAGATCTCTAAACCCATACACCAAGACCCTAGTACTCCTACTGCTACCACCACTGCTACTACTACTACTACCACTACTACTACTACTACCACTACTACTACTACTACTACTACTACTACTACTACTACTACTACTACTACTACTACTACTACTTCTACTGCTACTGCTACTGCTACTGCTATTACTACTACTAGTACTACTACTACTACTACTACTACTACTACTACTACTACTACCACTACGATACTACTACTACTACTATTACTACTACTACTACTACTACTACCACTACTACCACTACTAGTCATCACTCATGTGTCCTTAAATTCTCTAAGGCCCTAGTTTGGGATCTGCAACCGGACCGTGCAGAGTTCCCGACTGCACCCCTGCTGCCATGTTTCTTTAAGATGCGACTATATGGGGGTTTCCGAAAACAGGGGACCCCAATATAGTACCCTAAATAGTAAGATCCTTATTCTCATAAGGACCCCAAAATAAGATATCCCGCATTTTCGGAAACTCCCATAGAAACTACAGTCCCATACAAGAGTCACTAAGCCCACAAGGTCCAAGTACTTGGCAACCGGTTCTTCCTTTTCATTGTTGACCTGGATCCCAAATAACCTACCTTTTGGGGTTCCCTGATATGATTCCTTTATATACGTCCATGAAAAGGTAGGTTATTCGGGGTTAAGGGAGTATGTACAAGAACTGACAACTCCTGGCCCTTAGACCCCACCAGCGCTACGACCGAACCTGTATAGGCCGGAAACCCTAAGCCATGAGCCCGAAATCGTCCGAGCACCCGAAACCCTAAAGCCCAAAACGTATACCGTATACCCGTTGCGTTGAGGTTTAGTTTTCAGGGCGTAGGTTTTTGGGTGTTGGGTTGAGTGGAGGCTTTGGGGTTGAGGGCTTAAAGATTGCTTAGCGATTGAAGCTACCCAAACCTGTCGTTTTGTACAGTTGCTAGTGCGGTCGGTATTTTTGCCACCGGAGTATGACAAGATACGAGGCTTGTCATGGTGTTTCGAGCAAGCGGCCGCATTATATGCCTAAACCCGACAGAACCCTAGAAGTTGAACAAAGCAGTATGAACATGCTGATAAATCCTGGAAAACTCGTCAGCGTAGGCAGGAATCCTTTGAAAACCTATCGGCGGATCCCCGGCCAATGGGCGGAAGACCGTTTAGCGCACAAGTATACCTACAGTCTGCATTGTAGTTCCTTTTCTGGGTTAACCAGTCTTATGATTTTATGGTTAGGATCCTAGAATAGAGATTTGGGTTAACCAAAAAAGGAACTACAATGGAGACTATAGGTATTGTTTTGATCCAGAGGGACTCCGGATACCACTTTGGAGAAGCCGTCTCTCGATCATCTTGCCTGGTAGCCATGAGAAGAGATGAATGCCCCCCTATCAGACCCTGCCTCGCACCTGAGCCTGAACACGGCTTGGATGCGTTTTCGTGTTTCGTTTTGTTTTTTGTATTGGGTTTTCCTCTTGTAGAGAGGCCCGATGAGACACACCTCGGTCAGTGATAATCGAAATCGCACACAAAGCAGGCTCCGTAAGATATGGGTGGTTGTCAAAATTAGGGTCCCTTTTTGGGTATTCTAAATATACGGTGCCGTACTATATTCGGGACCCAAAAAGGGACCATGATCTTGACAACCACCCATATCCCAAGCTACGAAATTGAAGCCCAAGCTACAGGCCGGAGATGCAACCCTGAACCCTAAACCCTAACCTCTAAAACAAAAACCTTAAACCCTCAAAACAAAATCCTAAACCCTAAAAAGCAACCCTAAACCCTTAAAAAAAAATCCTAAACCCTAAACCTCAAAGCCCATCTTTAACTAGGCAAGACTCATGCCTATCAAGAAGACCATGGGGGTTTTCCAAAAACCGGGGAACCTGAGATAGTACCCTAAGCAATAGGATCCTTATTATAAGGACTCCAAAAACAAGGGACCCCCATTGTGGGAAACTCCCATATGACCACTACATTCACAGTAACCGTCACGAGTTTTACACCGGTTGCCGCAGCAGCAGAAGTGCCTCGCTGAGTAGCTGAGATCATAGGAGGCCAAAAGGGGTTTTAGCCTATGGGGGTTTAGTCGGGATTAGGGTTCCCATAATAGGGTTCATATCAAGGAATCCCTACCCCAAGAATCTTAAACCCCCCTTTTGGCCTCTCATCAAGAGAGGATGGCGGTGCTTCGAGTCCGCAGTATAGCCTAAGTCGCCCTGAGGCCGGATATTGTGTTTTCTGGGGCTAGGGAGATTTTAGGCTTCAGGGGTTTAGGGGTTTAGGCTGTCGCTGCTGTGGCTTTCGGGCATTTCGTGAGGTTGAGGGCTGAAGATATCGAGTTTGGGGTATTTCGGCTGCGTTGCAAAACTGTTCCGATGTCGAGTCTATTGGTTTATAGAGATGCTAGATAGTCCTTTGGGACATTTCATATTTTTCCCTTCTTGGGCTTAAAAGGGCCCTATTTACGAATCTTTTTCAGAGGCTTTAAAGGGCCAGCCTCGGATCTTTTGGCGTGGGAGTTTCAGCTTTTGGCCTCTCCGGGGTTTGTTCAATCGAAGCAATGCGGAAGCCACCAACCGGTAGTAGTAAAGGATATGGATTAATGGTAGGATCCCCTATGATTTACCTTAAAGGGGTTACGATAATGATATTCCAACTTTCTGGCTTCTACTGTAGGCGCAGCAGGGGAGAAGTAGAAGTAGCAAATACTAGCAGTAGTCGCGGCTGCGGCGGTCGTGATTGTTGATGCTCCTTGCTGTAGCTCCTTGGTGGGCAGGGAATGAATTTTGGCTCTCGCTGTGACGGATGCTGCCCTTGAATTTGTTTCCCGTTTGCTCATTGATTCGTTGTGGTTGCAGCTGAAATGCAAAGTCCTAGGGCAGATCCAAGTTGAGTAGCTCGTCCGACCTGTATGGCAACCCTAAACCCTGAACTAGGATGCCCAACACTACCCTTATTCGCTTTTTGTAGTCCTAGGTTCCTCTTAAAGTTACCCAATACCAAAAAGGGAGCCCTTTTTCTTCCTAAGGTTACTGGGCATCCTAGTAAAGCGTCTAACCCAGTTCATGGTGTCAGCTCCGAGTCCTCCCAGTCGAAACCCAAAGGCTCCATGCAAATTTATGATAGAGACTTGAGCCTTAAAAGCGTCCCTATAGATGGGTACTTTAAGGCCTAAGTATATACTATATGGGTACATGGAGCCTTCGGCAACAGGATTTAGCACTCCGATCGCCACAACAACCTGGAAGCCCACACCGAAAATACTTGCAGTTCAGAGGACAAGACTCATTTACACAGCCCCTTAGTCAGTGTCCGAAGCAGCTGTATGGGAGCATACTTTCATAAACCGTACTTTCAATTCCTAGCATCGCACCTAGATTATGTAGGTCCTTACAAGTTGTTGCCGGCAAATTCCCAAACTCTAGACCCTAAGCTCCTGAAACCCTAATCCCTAGACCCTTGACACTCTTAACCCCTAAATTACTAAAGCCCTAAACCTGAATCCCTAAACCCTTTTAGAGACTCCATTCTCCCTTAGTTAAGGATTATACCAAAAATTATAGTA